TAAATTGACAGTCTATTTCACTATACTTGGTGTATTCATGGAAAACATCACTATGTGTTTTTTGAATAGCACTTATGTAGTCGCAACAATGACTCTCTCACCACTATGAAGGACTCTCGTATCTTCTAGTAACTATCGCTACCGCAATATTTTAAATGTCATATCAACAAGAGCACAATATTTTGCATCCATATTAAATCTAGCGACAATGATATGTTTTTTGCTTCACCATGAGATAAGTGAGTTACTTAGAAAGAAGCAGTAGCATGTAATGGAGCAATAATCTAAAGGGTCATCCACCTAGTCAGTTCCTAAATAAGCCAACAACTCTAAGGTAGAGTAGCGACCAATAAAAACTCTAAGGCAGAGTGAGCTAGAAAAAAACCCAATTTAAAACCCTAACTCGGGCAAATCGACCAAATCCCCTATTCTTTAACCCTCATTTAAAACTTGACAAATTGGACCAAATTTTCGATGTGAATCTTGCAATGGAGAGTAGGAGTAGGAAAATGGCTCAATTTCGTGTTTCAAGAATGGATGAGTGAAGGCTCGGACGAGAATGGCGAGGTCTTGAAGAGCGCAAACAAAAGCTTAAAAAACAGGGCCTCTTGATTCCTTTTCTCCGGCACTAACTCTAGGCGAAACTGAAGCTTCTACGACTGTCGTTGGAATATGAGGTAAATGATTGGGGGCTCTAGGAAGGAATGAACTAAGGCTTGAACGAAAAGAGTAAGTTCCTGAGCGAGGAGACGGTGAGGCGAAAAATAGAGCCTCTAGGTCACATCTCTCTATGGATGGTTGCTGACTGTCTTGGAGGCCTACCAGAGGTAGCATTGGAGCTAAAAGAAGGCTGAGCGGTGGCAAGGTGTCATGGTTGTGATGCACGAAAGGAGATGAAGCCGAGCGAGGGACAACCCGGAGGAGACGAAGATGGTGGCGACAGGGAAGATGGACGGGTCAATTGTAACGATGTCGTTTGGTTAAAAAGAAGAGAGAGTGTGGCTGGAATTTCCAAGTTGACTTTTCTTTTTCATCAAAAAGTCACGTAATTGTATATAATTAAAAAATAGCCATATTGAAATAAATATCTAATTAAAAATGCCATACAGGACTTTTGGCCAAAATTTGTCATCGGCGGCACTTAAGTGAGCGTTTTTTCTCCGATTTGACACTTAAGTGATCTAACAAAAAGTTTTGGCACTAAAGTAAGTGTCGTACGAAAATTATTGCACTTACGGTATCCTTTTCCCTACTTTTAGCGATCTTGTTATTGATAAACCCTGCTCGATATAGAAGATCAATGGCATTCAGTTCAAAAATGATAATTTGAGGTGATATCAGAATGAATATCAATGCATTATTTATTAAAAAAAACTTTGTTCTTTGTTTTTCTGTTATGTTTACAGACCCAGCTTTGACAATACAAATACGAAAGCATTGAGAGCCACAGCCGCTTCTTCTACTTCGATCCGAAGTGTATCGATTGGGAGGACTATTTCAAGAAAACTCATTTCCCTATAGCTATCAATGCATTCAAGCTAAAGTGAACGACGATACAATACGATTAATTAGCATGGTAAACTGCATGTGTTCTAGTCTATGATGTGGAAACCGATCGAGATGGTGCAACATTCACCTGTCGTTAGTTTCGGCGTCAATTGCCAATATTGTTATCGAAAGTTGAAACATATGGTCAAAAATGATCTCCAATCTAAGATTCCTCATGAAGAGTCTCGCTCGCACCACCTAATCGTGATAAGAATATACTTCAAACATATGAAATTGTATCTCCAATCAAAGCTCTCCGTTTTCTTGTTATAATGAACCGTGTATTTACCTCTCTTTCTCACATATGAATAACTTAGGTAATTTAATGGCAACGAGTATCACATTGATTTGCATATGAATAATTTAGGAAATTTACTGGGCAACGAGTATCATATTGTGCAAGTGAATAATTAAGTCGATAGTCACCATGATCGCGAGTATAAATGATGCATCCCAAGATGAATCTTTTGCCTCAGAAAGTAGTACCTCCAAATTATCTCTCACTTTTCAAGCTCGTTTGATCCAAAGCTCGTTTGCAAATGGGGCTGGACATAGTCCAATTTCTAGAAAACAAGACCATATTAGTTACTGGCGCCATCGGTTTCCTCGCAAAGAGTACTCTCTCTTTCTCCCTCTGTCCCTCTCCATTCCCACTCGCACGCACACAGCATAATTTATGTATAAAGCATGCACATTTACGTCTGCGCGGGTCATAGAAGATTATCTTGGGGTTTGCAATTACGAGCTCTGATCCATATAGGTTAATAATGCCTAGGGGAAGTGCCGAGTATAGCGGGGACTGTGACTTTCTTCGATCCTAATCGGAGGAAATTCGCTCCTGTAATTCTTCATTTGGTTGGTTAGACACACCGAAAAAACATCCTAACCCAAATCTTGCACGTACAACAACGCCACCTTGCTCTTCCTTTTCCATGTCTCCCTCACCCATTGCCCCTGCCGCTGCCGCCGCATCAACATCGATGAAGACCACTTTTGATCTCCAACCACCTCGATCGGTGCTTAGATGATAAGGAAGTTTGCTCCTTTTTTGAAATCACTTGAGAAGTAAAATCCTAAATGCACTAAGGCGATATGGAGAAGTGCATCTTTACAATTGTCCAAGATCGTCTAGAAAGGTGGACTTGTTGAGACGCAGAAAAGCTTATCCCGACACCAGATGTTAAACCGAAAGAATCGTATAAATAGTGTCATAAATAAAAGAAAAGAGTCCTCATTTCTTATAGTTCCCAAAATAATTGAAGTGCAGGGCGAGACTACATGGTTGGCTAAACATGTACACTATGACGAAAGCAATGGGAGAAATGATAACGAGGCATCATCTGAATTGGAATTTATCACTTGTTGTTGCAAGACCAACCATCATAACCAGCACCATTCAGGTTGCCCTTTTCCTGGTTGGCTCGAGGGCTTGCTTTCCAGGTTGTCCTCCCCAATTCTCCCTGTCGCTCATAGATTCATTGGTGCTTTTAAAAGCAAAATGGTGAGGAAAATATCACTAATAGTTTGAAAGGTTTTGTACGAAAAGTGCAATCAAGTCCTTAACATTTTAAAATCAGTACAATCAAGTCTAACCAGCCAGAAGAATGGGATTTTTTCATAAAATTAAGCATGGTTTTACCGTACCTGTGCAAAAAAGTAGGGTTCTTGTGAACCATTAACTATATGCCTTGATTTTCAGAATCAATTGAAAAATAACACTCAAATGCCATGTGAAATCGAGCATAAATATATAATGTTCTAAGTAAAAGCCTAAATCCATTATTCCATCTCGATTTGAATCGCTAAAACTCAGTCGAAGTTTCAATTAACCAATTATCAATGCCTACAATAATCCAAAGGTTGTTTTATAATCAATTTAGTTTTTTTTTAATAATTTCATTCATTGAATTGGAATTTAGATTTTGAAATTAAGGCTTTCGATAACCAGAAGTTATTGCTTCAAAATTATTGATTTTGATTATTTTATTGAAATTAAACTCATATGTCTTGTTATACTACTTAGTTTGGATATCTATAAATGGTCAATTGAACATTTCATTAGTTTTTCATGACTCAATTCGAGATTAATGGGTTGATTCTAGGTTTTCCATTTTATATCAGCTATTATTCAATTTTAAATAAAATATAAGTTCTATTTTCAATCAATACTCGAAATGAAGTCACACTCTCTACGCGCAACAAAGACCTCTTCCCATGTTTTGCCGAAAATCATGTGTAATAACTTGACAATGGGTCTGCTTTTCCAGCAATTATATACGACACATGGCAGTGTTACGACAAGATTGATTGAACTTTTGAGATTAGTTGTGTATTGTGAGACTTCAGAAGTTCATAACCATACTAGTATATAGATCATTGAGAAGAAACTAAAGGCGCGAATGATAATTATTCCGTTTCTCTATTTTTCTATTTTTTTGTTATTGAAAACAGATTTGGAACAGAAATCCATTTGGTAACGCTATTTCATTTTTCTATTTTTGGAACAAATTTCTACTCCAAAAATAGGTCTGGAACAGAAATCAGAAGTAAAAAAAATCCACTTTTCTATTTCTAGAACAGAATTAAGAAATAAAAACTCTTCTCATCGTTCGCCCTCCCTACTAGCCGGCTACCCACCCACCATCGTCACCGATCACCTCCCACCGCCGCCGGCCACCTCCCACCACAGTCGTCCGTTGCTGTTCGCCGCCGTCCTCCACCGCTGACCACCTCCCAACGCCGTCCGCCACCACCCGCCGGCGACCATCCACCGCCCGACGCCGTCCGCCTCCCACCATTGGCCGTTGCTGTCCACCGCCGTTCACCATTTCCCGCCGATCACCTTCTACAGTCCTTCGCCGATCACCTCCTCCCATCCTCCGCCGCCGCCGCCCATCGTCATCCACCGCCACCCGACACCGGCCCACTCCCGCCACCGTCCTTCACCGCCGTCGCGCGACGCCGGCCACCTCCCACCATCGACCGCCGCCCTCCCGCCACCACCCAACACCGGCCACCTCCCGCCGCCTGCCATTTGCCGTCCTTCGCCACCGCCCAACGCCGGTTGCCTCTTGTCGCCGCTCGCCGTCTGCCGTCCTCCGCCACCGCCCGACGCCGGTTGCCTCCCACAATCGGCCACCACCGTCCACCGCCGCCCGTCAGCCGCCTCCTGCCGTCCTCCGCCGCGACTCGACGGCAGTTGCCTCCCTCTGTTGGCCGCCGCCTGCCACTCGCCACCTCCCATTGCCATCCTCTGCCACCGGCCGCTCGGGAGGGAGAAATTTTGTATCGTTATCAAACGAATTTCTATTTCAGAAACAGAAATTTTGTGTTGTTATCAAACATATATTGTGGCTCAGAAACTTGTCCATGGAATAGATATAGAAAAATTTATTTCTAGCCAAAAATTGATTTCTGGAACAGAATGATTATCATTCGTGTCCTAAATATCATGGAAGGCGTAGTAGACAATACATGCATGTTACAGACCTGGAAGTAATCAACAGGAAAGAGGTAAAGGCTTTTGGTTCAATGGTTTGTTTTCTTCTGTAAAATGAAAGCCTTGATGTATAAGGTCTAATTTGTTGTCCAGTTTTCCAGTTATTTTACCATCTATAGGTCTTCTTTGCATGCACGGAAAAGAAAGCACCTTAATCCTTATCACTTAGCAAATTTTTCCCATTGTTTTTTATAGCTTTGGATTGATTTGTTACTCTTAGTAAATGTAGGGAATGGAAGAGGTGGAAGCCCTTTGCTTTGACTTAGAAAATCTAACCCGTACATTTACGGAAACCGATTTCAAGAGCATGCCAAACATAAGGTTCTTGAAATTTGGATCGTGCAAGTATGACTGGAAATTTCGCAAATGTATTTCCAAAGTCGAGGTGGCTTCATTGGCAAGGGTGCCCAAGGGATTTCAAAGCAACAGAATTTAGTCTGACGGCACTGGTCATTCTTGATCTTTCATGGAGCAAGTTCACCGAAGACTGGGGAGGTTGGAGGTTAATTAAGGTGGTTTCCTATCTACAGCTCTTATGCATTTATTCTGTTAATTATCTGGCAATTGACCCTATGATGTTTCCTTTTCTACAGATGGAGCAATTGAAAGTCTTAAATCTCACTGGTTGCACTGACTTACTGATAAGTCCGACATTTTCTAGCTTCCCGAACTTGGAGGTACTGATTCTAGAGCGATGCTCTCGGTTTGTCCATTTAGATCGTTCAGTGGGTGGTCTCACAAAATTGCTTTGCTTGAATTTGAAGTCCTGCACTGAGCTCAACAGGTGCCTGCCGAAATGGGTGCCTAGAAAGCTTGAAAGAGCTCCTCATTGATGAGACTGCTGTGTGTGATATTCCCTCAGGAGGTGATTCAAAGAAACTTGATACTCTTTCTACCTCCAATTGCTTGTCATTGAGTCTCCTGCCCCATTCATTTGAGCACCTGACATCACTTTCAATACTCTCAGTAGATAATTCGAAAATTACCAAACTCCCTGATGGAGTTGGAGAGCTTGTGAAACTCCGATGCCTGTCATTGAGGAATTGTCGCTGGATACGAGAACTTCTAGAGTCCATTGGAAAATTGGGAAGCTCTTTAGAGGAGCTGGATATTTCGGGAACATGCGTTTCAGAATTGCCAGACTCCTTTGGAAATTTGTGGAGGTTGAGAGTGTTAAAGATTGACTATTGCTTCCTATTTCCTAGTTTTATTTGGGGTTTAGATACCCTTGAAGAAATACATGCCTCCTCTTGTAGGAATTTAGAGGGGGAGATTCCTGGAGACGTTGGGAAGCTAATTAATCTGAGAATCTTGAGGCTGCAAGATTCTGCTATTTCCAGCCTACCTCCTGAAATCAAGCATCTTCCCAAGCTGGAGACTCTTGATCCACTTCGCTGCGACATGCTTTCTGAGTAGCCAGCACTTCCCTCTGGTTTGGTTAATGTGCATTTGAGTCCAAAATTGAAGGAAAAGGTGTCGAATCTTTAGAATCTGTCTTGAGATCATGTCCGGTACGCATTTGGTGGAGCATTGTTTCGTCATTGTGTAACTTGGATAACAAGGTCATTAAAACTGGTCTTTGGAGATGGCTTGTGGATCCTTTGTTAGACTTAGATCTAGATTCAAAGCTCGAGAAGTTGTTTGCTGTTTTTATTCTTGAGAATAGGAGATTTCTGTTCATTTATCCTCGGTTGAGAAGTTGAATTATTTCATTTGCTTGCTTACTCCTGCAAATTTATGGCAAACTCATTTTCACGTGTGATAAGTAACCTACTTTGGTTGACTCGATTTAGTCTAATTTCCATGGATTTTAGTGGCTGCTGTTTTTACAAGTTGCTTGCTTGCTGTAACCTACTCAGTTTACAAGTTGCTTGCTGTTTTTATTCTTTAAGTCTAATTGAAATTGGACCTCATGTTGTCCGACATAGTCCTCGTATTCCAGCGTCACATGTTCCCTAGAAAGGACCATCTCTGCCCCCGTATGTTACTCCAAAATGAGGTTAATGGTGGTGGATTGTAATGAATTAACAAACAATAGTCAACCTTATGTCAGTCCAGCTAGCTGTCCCTGCATGCATTAATCTCCACCATTGCCGGGCAATTACTAAACACAAGTTTTGTAATCTATTTTGCTGCTTCCCACGACCAATCCAAGATATATTAAACTTGTGACATTGGCAAGATTAATACCATATAAGGAAGAGCTTGCTCGGGAAGTTTCATGCAAGACACCAATAGCTAGGCCTTTCAACATATTAAGGTTTTGATCTTCATTTCGAGTGGGTGAAGGGAAAAACGAATGATATTATAATGATCGTGATGACAAGTGAGCCATACTCATTATTTGGGACAATTACCAAAACGATCTTAAACCTATTGCAATTGTGTCAATTCAGTCCTAAACATTTTGTATTTATGCCAATTCAGTCCATTCGGCCAGCTGTGACATAAACGCCGGCCATCTTACGTGGCACAACCGACGCTGACATGGACAAATTTAATAATATTTTAATAATTTTTTGATCTTTTTATTTTTTTTCCCTTTCTTCCTTTTTTTTTTCTTTTCTTTCTCTTGCTTTTTTTTTTCTCCCTTCATCTTCAACCTCTAGAGGCGAGGGCCAGCAAGGTTGGCCCCGCCAGCCGCTAGCGAAGCAAGCCTCACCCACCCCTGGCGAGGCTCAACCTCGCCGTCGCTGGGCAAGATCGAGCTTGCCGGTCGCACCACGTAAGATAGTTAGAGTCCATTCAATGTCGGCCGGTCAAAATTGGTCAAATAGACTTAATTGGCAGAAATGAAAAAGGTTCATGACTCAATTAGCACAAAAAAAAAAGGTTTAGAACCTAACTGGTACAATTACAATAGATTGAGGATTATTTTGGTAATTTTTCCCTCGCTATTTTTAGGGTGTGTTTTAGGATTTCTTGTGTTATTAGGAGGTTGTCATGAGGGAGTCTCAAGAAAAATTTCCACGGGAAAAGCTGTCCTTGGGCGGAGGAGATTGTGAGGAACGTGACGAGGAGGCGTGTCTCGAGGACCTTATCAACTAATGAAGAGGTTAACTTGTAACATTTAAATACAATCGGTAATCTACCATTGGGTGTGAGGATGGTAAAATTATTTTTCTATTGATAACTTACTAGCAATTTGGCAACCAGTTTATATCTATCAACGATATTTCAAACTCACTATAGATTATTCAAATTTGCCATGTACGGAACAGATTCCCGTCCCTAGCAAACGTGATTTTAGAAATCTACAAAATATATGGAAGGAAAGGAATGGCATAGAGTGGTTCGTGGGGAAGATGCTACTCAAGTGGGTCGAGTTTTGGCTAGAGTTGCCTTTGAGTCCTTCAATAAGATGGGAAGATACAGAGGCAATCGATTTCAAGGTAAGCAGGTTCCAAATTAAGAACCCGAAACCTATCCTGTCATAGTTGGTTTCCAATTTTTTGCACCAGGAACCGAACCAGTTCTAAGGTCGACCCATAAATCAAGCCTAACTTTGAGTAATATAACTATTATTTTAAGAAAATGTACCATGAAAACAACATGTGGCATAGTAGTTAAGACACTGATGGGTTTCCAAGACTTCCTAGGTTCATAATCCATCTCCAGCATTTATAACTTCGACAGTTCAAGGTATGAAACCGAGACCGTACGTTTCCCAATTTTTCACGCAGGAACCTATCGAATCCTCATGTGAACCGATTGGGTAAGGCCGGTTCGGTTTGATTCTTGGATTGAACCGGCCCGGTTGCTCACCCCTAAGAAGAAGCAGTTTTCTGCTAAAGTGATGACTATATACGGGCAGTTGAGATTAGCTACATGACTTGCTTGAAAGTGTTGGAAGTAGTTCAAACTCATGGAGATAGAAATGGTGATTCTAGTTGCATTAAAAGCTTTGAGGAAGGTGACGAGCTCATCATCAGGTGATTGATGGAGTGTTTGTGTTCACTTTAATTGACATCCTCAGCGAAGCAATCCACAGATCTAAGTAACGTGAAATAAGGACTACATTGTTTTTTTTTTTTTGGGTAACGAGGATCCGCCACTATTCCGGCGAGCCGCACAATTCGGAGCCTATACCTCGGAAGACTAGCGAATGGCCCACTTAAATTACGGAACCGAGCGGATTCGAACCCGAACCTCTCGAGGAAGGAAGCGCCCACCAACTCGGCCATGCACAGGTGGTTAAGGACTACATTGTTCAGTTCCACGTACCTCAAGAATTGGGAAAATTACAAAAAAAATCCTAAATCTATTGCACTAGTACTCTTAAACTTTTCAATTGTATCAATTGAGTCTTAAATCTTTTCATGGCTTGCCAATTGAGTCCATCCAGCCAATTTTGGCCGGAAATTGCTAATGTTGACACCCGTCGTCCTAAGTGGCACGGCCGGCACCGACGTGAACAATTTTTGCAATTTAAAAAAATCAAATATTAAATTTTCTTTCTTTCTTTTTCTTTTTCCTTCTTCCTCTGTCGATCACAATAGCTGGCAAGGCGACCCTCCCGACCTAGCCTAGCGAGGGCGAGTCTCACCCAAGGCCGGCAAGGCTCCACCTCGCCAATTCCGACAAGGTCGAGCCTTGCCCAAAGCTAGCGAGGTGGAGCCTTGCCGACCCTTGCCTCTAGCCACCACTGGCCATGGCAACCGGTGGAGGAAGAAGGGGAAAAAGAAAATAAAAAAATAATTAAAATTTTGAATTTAGAACAAAAATTGTAAAAATTATCACGTTGTCGCCAGCCGTGCCACGCAGGACGACCGGTGTCCATGTCAGTAATTTCTAATCAAAATTGATCGGATAGACTCAATTAGCAAAATTTGAAAAGGTTTAGGACTCAATTGGTACAATCAAAAAGTTTAGGACTGAATTGACATAAATGCAATAGGTTTTTTGGTCTTTTTTGGTAATTTTCCCCCCAAGAATCACCACCCGCAAATTTCGGAGCCCCACGGGTTTAACTCCTCATATTAAGTATATTATTAGGTCTCAAGAGATAAAGCGGAAAATCGATTTTTTTTTAGAAACAATATGAAACCACGCCGTGCACCTCACTAAAAGAGACGTGAAGACCACTATACATATTCTTGTTTTATGTTTGATTCCACGGCCGCGTTCGCCGGTCTAGGACTACACAAGTCTATGCGATTTTCGATGCTGTCGATACATTGCGCGCATACAAAAAGTTCTTATTGCCCTCTGGTGGAGGCTACATCTTCTTTCCTTTGGTAGGGAAGTCTCACAATTTCAAATCTGACCAAACCCAAAAACAAAGTAATTGAAGAACAGATCCTCCGCCCTCATATCTTACTCTTAAAATGAGGTCAATAATGATTGGAACGAATCAAACAAACAAGAGGCAACCTTATGCAGGTCTATCTAAGCTTAATCTCCGCGTGCGTTTGTCTCCACCGTTGTCGGTCCATTAATGATCATATCTTTTGCAATCTATGTTGTTGTTTCCCAAGATCGATCCTAAGAAATGAGAGGTCGTCCAAGTCTGAAGGTGTCTGAAGGTGATTCTGGTGAAGCTAGCTTTGGAATTTTTTTCTTTTTTTATGGACATCTCTGAATCAAAGAATATGTCCCACAGAATTATTTGCCAGGCTGTCCACCTAATCCAGAGAAGGAAAAACGGAACAGTGCACCACTTCATAGTAAACATGTAACTCTAGTAGTAAACTCTGGATCCCGTTAGTAAACTCTGCAACTAGTAACCCGCCGATCACGAATTTCGATGTAATTTACGATGTCAATGATTTACGACGGTCGATATAATAGCGAGTTACTAACTTTTTTTATATCAATTAACTTGTCGAAACTAAATATCCGCGATGTAAACAGTAAGACTTTATTTGTTTCGAAGGAACTTGCTTTCAAGAAAGTGGTTTCATTTTCCTATATTTCGCCGTATTATGCAAATAACGTGCAAGGCTTTTTGTGATGTTCGCCGGTAAAGGACTATATGAGTCTATGGCATTTTTTATGTTACTTTCTGGTGGAGGCTACATCTGAATTCCCTTGGAAGAGAAATCCCACGATGTCAAATCCGACCTAAGCTGGAAAAAAAATGCCCCTCGTACAGCATCACATGTTCACCTTCAACGGATCAATTCTCTGCCCTAATATTATACTCCAAATGAAGATAATGGCGGGGGATTGGAATGAATTAACAAATAATGGGTCAACTCATCTCTGCATGCATTAATCTCCACCTTCGTCGGGCAATTATTAGTCGTAAGTTTGTCATCTCTCCTCGTGCTTCCCACGATCTGTCCAAGATATATCAAACTAGTGGCACTGACAAGATCAGTACTATATAAAGGAAGAGCTTGCTCGGGAGACTTCATAGCATGCAAGACACTAACAGCAAGGCTCTCATCATATTAGGGTTTTGCTCTTCATTTTCTTTGAGAGAGTGACTGGGAAAAAGAGAAGGAAAGGATGATGATGGCGACGACAAGTGGTCGATACACCTTGATTTTGGGGTGTGTTCTAGGGTTTCTTGCGTTATTAGGAGATTGTCATGGAGGAGGATATGGTCTGAGGCCGAACTTCTACAAGGAAAGCTGTCCTATGGCGGAGGAGATTGTGAAGAACGTGACGTGGAGCATTGTCGCGGCGAACCCCACGGTGCCTCCGAGGATGTTGAGGATGCATTTCCATGATTGCTTTGTTAGGGTAAGCTTAACTGTTAATTACTCTTAATTCGTGTGATGGCATAGAATGAATTGAGGAAGGTAAATGAATAATGGCAATTTCATCGTTCCCATGCAATTTCCAGGGATGTGAAGGCTCGGTCTTGCTGAACTCGACTAAGAATTCTACGGCGGAGAAGGATGCAACCCCGAACCTAACATTGGCGAGCTTTGATGTTATCGACACTATCAAAGCGGCGGTCGAGGAGAAGTGCCCGGGCATCGTATCCTGCGCAGACATTTTGGCTCTGGCTGCAAGGGACGCGGTTTCATTCCAAGTAAGTGCAAAAACATGTGAAGAAACGAGCAAAGACTGATTCTTCTTCTCTAATTAGCATGAGACATGTGCGAGGTCGAATCTGGAAGGATATGTAGGAATTGACAATGCTAGGCATATATGAACACGTGGTATATATAATGAACAATACATGAACATATATGCATATCGATACAAGGATCGATCTTACTATTCAGTCTGGGATCTGGATCATCTCCGGTGATTAACTCATAAGTGAACCATCTCCCAGTCACATGTATGAGATCCTGACACAAGGCAAGCAAGAGATCCAATGGCCAAAACTTGCTTTCCCCCTCTTCTCTCTCTCTCTCTCTCTCTCTCTCTCTCTCTCTCTCTCTCTCTCTCTCTCTCTCTCTCTTTTATCTGATTTTACACCGAGCAACCTCTGACCACTGCCATCCACCATGGCGTCGGCACCACCAGTGGTGGCACTCCGTTGCCTCCACGACCTTCCACCTCAGCCGGCACCACCCCTCCCCCTCCCACTCCCCCTCCTCAACTACAACATCTCTCTCTATCTCTCAGAGTGTGGAACGAGAGGCTGCTAGCCATAAGCAATCGCGAATCAGAGGTCGCTTGAGGCAAGCAACTTCCTCTACATAGGAGCTTGCAACCTCAAATGTACCGCGAAGTGAGGAAAGGCCGAGATAGAGATCAGCGAGAGAGATGGATGGCAACGCAATGACAGCCGTGTCAAGTAGCAAGCAATAAAAATGGTGAGGCAGAGAGCATGGCGCGGAGCTGAGGCAGAGAGAGAGAGATGGACATTTTGGGGACTTATGGTTTTGTGTTTGATTTTCCAAAGAAGTGGGGCATTTCGTTAATCTATAGTAAATAGACACGGTCGAGTTATGGATTAAATTGAGAGGATCCTAATCGTAGTACCTGACATACATACATGCGCCCGTACCATAACGTCGCGCATGTCCGGTGAGCATAAATCCATCGCATTATAACGAATGCATCTCAACATCGAAAAGTTACATTTTTCTTAGTCATGTAAATTCCATATCACATATACGTCACACTAATCTCATTAGACTTCGCCTCGTAATAAAGTAGATGAAATTAGCTCGCTTTTCTTTTCATTATCTTCTTTGATTTTTTTGCAGTTCAAAGAGCCAAAGTGGGACGTGCTCACCGGAAGAAGAGACGGCACGGTGTCTCTAGCCTCCGAGGTCTCGACCAACATCCCATCCCCTTTCCTCAACTTCACCGCACTCGAACAGAATTTCGACAAGAAAGGCCTAGACGTGCGCGACCTCGTTGTTTTATCGGGTAACATAATCTCCTTACTAGCACTCATGAAAGATATTGCTCTCAAAAAAATTCCAGTTCGAACGTGAAAGTCGGGCTTCACACACGGATCACAATAGCTGTAAGCAAGTAGCCGCATCAAATCGACAACCAGGTCGGAGAAGCACGACACGATAACAAGAAAAGAGAGAACCTCACATCGGAGCTGATGAACCGACTCTACTGCTACGTTAGCAAGCCGATAACTTATCCCGAGAACTTAAATTGTCCCGAAAACAGGCTAACCACGTGCATATCAATCGTACATGCGCGCTCACTTATTTGTTTGTTCCGGATGAAAAATAATACTCTCTGTGTGGTGTTTCAAGGTGCACATGCAATCGGAGTAGGGCACTGCAACGCCTTCAGCGTAAGGCTCTACAACTTCTCTGGAAAAGGCGACCAAGACCCGTCCTTGAACGCCACCTACGCTACCCTCTTGAAGAGCCAGTGCAAAAACCTAACCGACAACACCACCTTCGTGCCGATGGAGCCACTCACCCCTCTCACTTTCAACAATAACTACTACGTCATCCTCCAACAGCACAGAGGCCTCTTCGAATCCGACGCGGCGCTGCTCACGAACGCCACCTCGGCCAAGATCACACGGGAGATGCTCAACTCTGATGAGTTCTTTGAAGATTTCAGGGAGTCGATCAAGAAGATGGGGGCGATTGGCGTCCTCACCGGGAAATCCGGGGAGATCAGGAAGGTCTGCAGTAAGGTCAACTAAGTCCTCATGCTCAAGGAAGCAGTCTTCAAGAATCAATAAGGGTTGAGCGTGTCGTGAAGCGATCCCTCAGTTGTTGCTAATTTTGCAGTTGTTGTTGTTTAAGGTTGTGGTGATTAACAAATAAAGGGAATGCACTCTGATTCCTATGTCGTTGATGATGTTGCGAACGTTGGAGAAGTTGCAACTGGGTTTCATCTTTGTTGTGAGGGCTTCAATAATTTGCGGCAGTTTCGTTTGTTCGATTCGCCAAACTTGACTCATATGCAAAATTTGTGAAACAATTGAACATAATCCACCTTCTTTCTGTCTCGCTTGCTTAGCAGAAAGATGAAAAAACGAACTGCTAAGCGTTAAAGGAAGATTAAACAGAATAGGCCACATCAACAGCTCTCAACTATGCGTATTTCCCAGCAAGGAAAGCTATTATAGCGTTAGAAAAAGTTTCTATATGGTCCCTATGCACTATTCCAAGCTATAAAAACTATGAGACAATCAAACCTATTGAACAAAAATATGAACATCAAACACCAGAAGACAGTCAGGGGAAAAATGGGTAAATCGAAGTTATGATGCCAGGCAAGCCTCCCAAAACAACCTACTCTTCTCTATCTCACTCAGATGCACTTCGCTTGACAAAATTCCGCTAGGCTTCATGTTAATCTCCTCGTCGTCGTCGAAACTATTGATTTCCTCCGAGACACACGGCTCCTCGGCTTCCGGCCACCGTTGCTGCTCCACACGTTCATTTTTCCCTGTTTCGCGTGGTCGCATCCCCCGCCATCGATCAATCTCGTCCACGGTGCCGCCGCAATCTAAATCCTGAACATCATGGTTATCAAAGGACTCGTGAGACGGCCATTCGCTGCTACAAGATTCCGCATCCTTGTCGTAATCGCCGCCGCCGCCGCAGTCGTCGTATGCCGTGCTACTAGCGAGGCCAGGATCGCGCATTATGGCCGGATCAGAGTCGGCCTCCGAATCACCGGTGGCTTCGATGAGCAAGAAAGGTGAGGCGTCGATGACCATGTTCTTTCTCTCCATTTTGCTGTGCTGTTTCTCTTTCCCAAATCCCGACCCTATCTCTATCTCTCTCCTTTGAAAGTGGTCTCGTTGACAAGTTTTACTTGGGAAAGTCTCGCCTTTGTCGCATGGAAGTTCCCATTTATAGTGTCAACCAGGAATTTTGCGTGTGTATAAAACGTGGGGCGTCTTTTATTCCTTGTTTCAACACTTTGCATTACGTGGTGGGCGGCCTACAATGCAAAAGTATAGACTACCAACTCTAGACTTCCATTCTTTTCAGGAAAAGTCACCCATTTTAGAAAAGATTTTCATAATTAGGACCATTTATATCACTTATAGAAGTACGTCGATCAAAAAACAATTCTCAGTAACAAATAATATATGCCTAAATACGTTCCTTGACGACGAAAAGATCAAATCCTATAAAACATTTACAAATTGTTAAATTTTCGCGGGATAAAAGGAGTCTTGTAACATGAATTTCTAACTCGATTTATCTACACAAATTGACATAAATTGGGCAAGACAGACTCGATCCACAAAATGACGGGCACGGACTTCGAATGAGAGCATTGTAATTCGAATACATAATCCATCCCGAACACAGAATTCGTCCCGTCTAAATCAAACCCCCGGCAATCACCAGTTCAAGGTTTAAGAAACAATTTCATTCGTAATTCTCCACGTGATGTATCAAAGGTAGAATTGGATTTTGGAGGAAAGAGACGGATCATAGCAGGTCGATCCCCACCAACCTTCTAGATGAAATCCGGCTGCTAGTGATCAATGCGTATGTGGAAAGCATTTCAACGCACGAAGCCACAAGGCAAAGTCTTCGAGAAGAGAAGAGGGCAAAATAATTATCGATGAGACGTGACCCCAGCCTTCTCCATCCAAAGAGATTAGGATGTTTTTCTTTTTTGCCCTTTTTTGGCCCGCCACTCTTTTCTCCTTTTCCCAACATCTGTCATGCAAAGTCCTAAAAGTTTTCCATATCGACCCTCCATTCCGAGAAAATATTGACCGATCAGCAATCCCAAAACACCCCATTTCCGGAACTTTCCACCCCTCTCGCCCTTCAAATTTTTCCATCGCATCCTTCGTTTTCTTGTCTAATCTTGGAGCCACTCCGATTGACCTGTTGACTCTGATTTCCCCTTTTCTATCTTCTCTAAAACTTTCCCTTTTTTCTCTGATCGATTTCTCGCCCGCAGCAGCAGATAAGGAGCACTATTGTAGATGATGAGGACGTGCAGTGTGGATTTGACATGTGGATAGGATGCTGGCGTTGCCATCCAATCCTACGATAGATTGAACTAAAGTCGACGGTGTGAATAAAGAAGAGAATGGTCCTCTCATACACTAAAGCAAAACATCTAGGCTTATGTGAGATAAAAGACTAGCCATAGCTACAAATGTGAGATTCGATTCTTTACCTTTATATATATGGTCTTGTTGTTTCTCCCTCTCTTTCTTTTCGAATTTCTTTCATACAGGCCTGATTTTGGAGGGCGGTCTTCTAAACCTGTATCGCGAGTAACCAATTTATATTTAGGTTGCTGCATCGGTCTATGTAAAATACATGTGGAAAAAGTAATCCATCTATTCAACTTCCCACCATCAGAACGTTACGGAACTAACTGTTAACACAAAGATATTTCGAGGAAGAAAACCACATTCCTCACTTTCCTGTATATCTTCTTCAGTAGTTTATAATGACCTAGAGGCGTATATATATATAAAGAAAAGAAAGAATCTTAAAAAATATATCCTCTAAACTAGCTAACTATAATCCTTGATTCTAGCTAATTACAATCATAAATATATTTTACAGCTCATACTCACACTAACGTCATCTAATATTCCCATAAAGATGGACGGAGACTATTCGAATAGAAGGCGCAGAGGTTAGTTTCACCCAATTGAAAGTATCGGGTACCTGCCTTTTTTTTTTTTGGTACGTAAAAAAAAAATTAGGAAGATAAAAATGTCTATGCTTGGTTGAAGTAAAGCTGTGGGAGCCATCAAGATTCAAAGAACGTTTCCAAGATCTACAGGTGTAATAAACGTGCACGGAAATTAGGGTAGGCCCCCAACCAATCTCTGGATTTGCTTGGATGATTTGGCTTTTTTTGGCCTTAATGATTGCCGAAACGTGCGACGGTCGACCGAGTCTGTGTCCGAAAGATGCCGGATTTTCCCATTCCTGGGCAAATCCTGTCCGTTCGTTCGAGATCGCATTTCTCTTTTTCATCCTTCTAGAAGAGAAGCCCCACCGTCTCCCACGTGTTGTCCCGATTTCGTTCATTATTTATTTAATCGTTGCTTTGCCCATGGGGTTAGTAACTACTACTTCACAAGCAGCCCTCTACCAATAATTGTTCCGTGACACCCCCTCGAATCCCCATGTGGTACTGAACAGCCTACACCCCTAATCTGAAGGCTCGGCCGACACGAAACAGATCGAGTTGTTATAGATGGTATCAAAACAAAATCCTTATGATGGACGTGTAGTTCATAAAACGTACTAAAATCAGTACCTGATCGGACGAGAGCAGGAAATGATCGCCACGTCGAGAGGGCTTGGGGGCTTGGATAAGGTGCCGCTCCCGGCGAGCTTTCGCCACAGCAGAGGGAGCAAAAATGGACATGATGACCTATCGAATAGGAGGAATATCGTTGACTATACAGAGCCGAACACCGACAAGGTAGTCGATAGTTGAAGCGGAACGATCCGTAATATCCCAAAGAGTCCCGCCGCACGATCCATAAATATAGCTCACGGACCCAACAAGGTGAAAAGGTAAAGCTCTAAATGGGTAACTCGAACAAGTAAAATATTTTTACCCAATGACATAATAAATAGAGCAGAATTGCACACGCGGTGCATGGCCTATGCTAGTCCAAACGTTCATTACACATACATAGTCCTTGTCGTCCAAAACGGAGAAATGATCCTCTTAGCCTACCTCCTCTTAGTACCAATACATTGATTTAAGTTTTCTAATTTGTGGACGAAAATTGATAACTTGTGCTTGAGGACTGCTAGCAAAACCAAAGGCGACAGACATCTGTCGAAGCAATATGACATCTCGTTTCGACAAAAAAATGATGGACCCCTTCGAGCTGTGACGCTCACGTTGACTTTCTCACACTATCACGTCCCACGTGAAATCTCAGACAGGAAAGGCACAACGTGCAACGGTGCTTCAACTCCCAAAACCAGAAAGAGATCTCTTGTAAATTAAGTGAGGTTGGACACGCCATGAGAACAATCTTGTCGACCCTCTCCTTCTAAATCTTCTTCTTCGGGTGGGGACCGGGGAGTTGATCCAAGTTTCCTTTCTATCGCACTCCGTTCCAATTTGTGCTTAGCCATGGCTGCGATGCAATGGTGAACCCAAAAATTTAACCAAACGCAAAGAAAAGAAAAGAAAGGGCCTTTGCAGCAAGGAAATACCCAAAAAGAAAACAATGCACATCCAGGAGCATGTATCTCAATCTATTCATGAAAAGATCAGTACCCAAAGCATAACAAAACGGATAGCCCATTGCACAGCAAAATCAAAACAAAATATTCTAGCAAAAAGACTGGAAAAAGAACGGTACGAGACTGGAGTTAAACTTCACCTTCAAGTCCTAGACCTCGATTATCTCGGAGGGCTCATGACTTCAGGTTCATTTGCATATGATCTTCCAGGATTTAACGATATCCAACAGGCAGATCTTGTAGCTTGGGTTTCCCATACATACTGTTTTTAGACCACTCAAGAAGTGGAATTTGAGAGCATACCTAACTAGAAATGGAAAACTAACAATCATATATAAACAAATGATTCAACGGTCGGCGGTTGCCACTTCAATAGACATGGAGAGCCATTTCACATCCATAACTAGAAATGCCGATATCAAACATCTGCAGCTAACATGTGAAGAATCGATTCCATCCAAATTTTCAGAAATTCTCCGCTAAATGCCCGCTAATAAGAGGTCAAATTCCCCTGTAAAAAGTAATAAGAAATCTAAGCTAACATCAGCCTTTGTTCATCTAGAATTCTAAAGCGGTAAACAGTGTCCTCTCAACGATATGAAGTTGAAACTTACAAAAACACAAACTGAATAAGGCTGACAAGGTTCCCATAATTGTAACTCCGCAAGGAACTTAGCAGACTAACAAAAGATGCAAATTCCACTCACAATCTACTTTATCACCTCAGGAAAACTAGTGTACATGATTATTCTCATCAAATCCTCTCTTTCTCGAAACCTAGTTTTACCGGATGAACCAGAATCAGTAAATGAATTAATCAAAACCTAAGATCAGATTTCCATTCCCTTGAGCATCGCAGCAACAGTCCTGCAGGTTGATATACAATTAAAATAAGCACACAGGGAAGATCGATCATTCTACTAAAAGACAACCAACGTACCTGAATAAGAAACCATATAAAGCTTGTCCTGGGTATGGCATAAGCACTTCCAACAGCTGAAATCAGTGCACTTGCACTAAGAAAAAGGTTAGTATGTCAATGCAAAACAAGCATTTTAAACAATCAGATTCCACAAAAAACATCCTCCATCACTGAGTAAAAGTTAATAACAAAGGGCCAGAAGAAACCCAAAGAAACAGGTTCCTGGTGAAGTTCTAATCTTAACTGGAAGTGGTGCTTAGTCACATAAAATGCTGATAAGCAATTGCCAACGTAGTCGAGTACAAAATGACCACTTCACTGAGAAGAGCATACCTGAAAAACTAGTAGGTCAGCAATACCTGTCTTCCTTCAAAGTTGAAGACGGCAAGCACACTGTGTAACTCGATACCATACTAAATATTGCCCAAACGAGAGTAAGTTCGCAGGACAGTGAGAATGGATTTTCAAGCACCGCAAATGCCAGGAGATAACTTGTTGTCCAATAAACTCCAGACGCAACATTACTGCTTAAAGCATATTAGCGACAAAGAACATAGCAAAAGTTGCAAGGGACCAAAAAGGAAAGGCCATCGGAGAGTTGGAAAGAAAGTCAATGGTAACAGATGTTTCATTGAACTATACAACTAAAAGTCAAGGGATAAATCAACAAATCAATCATTAATGTCTAAATGAGCTTCCATGATACAAGGTTACAAATCATGTTGGCACAGGACATGCACCATGAATTACAAGTTTGTAGTCTAATCCCGCCAGACAATTACAAGTAGGACGGAGAACCGTATGGGATGAAGATTATTCCAATCCATCCCACAGATCTGTACTGCAGAGAACCCCGTGTTATCTAGGTTGGAGCGTGTGCACATAAAGGAGATATATTCAGCTTCCTTGAATGACTCACCTTATGTCAATAAGGTTTACTTTGTCTATTGTCTCTTTTGAGCTGAACTTTCAATTTCTTACCACCTAATTGACGTCCATTCATTGTACTAATGGCAGATTGGGCAGCTTCAGGCGAGTCATAACTAACGAAACCTGAAAATAAAATAGCAAGATCAAATTTGCAAACCCGTGACAAAGAATCCATCTCAGAGATATTCTGAGTAGTCTTACCAAAACATTTGCTAACACCGGTTGCTTTATCAACATATACTTTAGCACTCAAAACCCTACCAAATGCCTTAAAAGCATTGGCAAGCTCGTGATCACCAAATTCTTGTGGTATGTGATAAATGAATAAATTAGCACCAGGTGGTCCTACATAACGAAAGAGGTGAAGAAGAATTAAATTGCCTGCACAATACCATTAAAAATAGCAAGCAAAAGCAGAAAGGTAACAAATTTGGGTGAGAACCTTCAGCTTGACCCCCACTACTAGGACTGGCAACTGAAGATGATGCAGAGTCACCATCCAGAGACACAGGACCAGCGGCACTTGGAGAACCACTTAAAGGTCGGTGACTCATCATTCCTCCAGGATATGCAAGAGGATACTGAACACCGTGCACTGCATGATATGGAGAACTCATATAACTTGCAGGAGGCAATGCATAATTTCTAGCAGGTACTTCAGGTGAAACTGCACGCAAAGTGTTTCCCCGGTTTGCAGGAGGAATCATGTTATGGAATTGATTCTGCAACGGTGGCAATTGGTATTGCATGAGCCCATAAGTTCCAGGAGCCTATGAGAATGAGATCACGATCACAATCATCACCCACTAGATCATAAAGTAGATGGAAAAAGTAGGCAGAAAAAACATGTGTTGCTAATAGTCTGTTCCTAATTTGTTATCTGAGTGGAGACAAAACTAAAGGAGCATAAGATATTAATCCAAATATGAGTTGGACTCATGGCACATATGACTGTGGCAGGGGGTGCATAGATGTCTGGTCACAGGCATGATAATGACCCAGATAAAATCTCCACAAATTACTGGCTTTCAACGAGGCAACGGAAAACAAAGTTTCAATGAAAAGGTTTAGAAATTACAAGGAGAAAAAAATGCTTAAACTACTCATGATGGTGTCTAAGCACGGTGAACAAACTTTCAGTAGGAACAGAGAAGTGACCACATGAAAGGTGCTAATACAGTGGAAAACCCAAGCCTGCACACAGCATAGTTAGCAAAATATGCATTGGGAGGAAAATAGGTTCCAAAACCAACCTGATAGCCATATCCATTATATGGAGGCATGTAACCCATAGGTAGGGCCCCAAACAACGATGGATGTTGCGAATCAGTATTTTGTATATTAGCAGCATTCTGAAATTGAGCTTTCTGAGCTCTTCGAGCTTGCCTTTCCTTTTCAGTATCTGCCCATTTGACAACAAGAGGAACACTTGAACCCTAGAAAAGCAAGAAAGAGATGTCAACAGCTCGTTAATTATCTCCCCATTCTAGCAAAGATCATCCATGGATAAGAAGGAAGACGGATATAGTTGGGCATACAAGTCTTCAATTTGCAGAGTGCAACCTCAAGTAACAGTACTCTATAGCAAAGACCTACTAAAGTTAGAGATAACAGAAAAAAGAAGATAAAGCTGACAAATCTTCAGCTTCTAGGCTAGGAAGAAAGTAATGTTTAACAGAAGGTGGTTCTCTTTGGCTGGTACACATATCAGTCTGATTTTATTTCCTATCAATTCCTTTACATCCTGATGTTTTTGGCCAGAGTCCTACCCAGGTATACTATTTTTACAATGGATTGGATTTAAATTATTTCTCATCCAAAAAACAAGAGATACGCTGAACACATTGCTTGCGCCAGAAATCAGCCTTTGCCCAAATAAGCAAAAAGAACCCCAAAGAAAATGTATGACATATCATATAGCATTCCCATCAGAGTGAGATTAGTCCAGCTAGCATCACATAAACTGATTCCAAAAAGTGAATCTCATGCTTACAATCATGAAAACCTGGCTATAAACATTCTCTTGCCAGTTCAGCATTGCCATTGCAGCAAATGTCATTAGTCATTTATATTCTGCCCTCACTCATCAGCAAAATATATTGGAGTTCCAAAAGAAACGAAACAAATGATGTTGTAGTTATTTCGTTTTTCCACTTTAGCTCTGTTAGTTCGCATAGAGATTGTAACAGCGCTGCATCCAGCTGTATTTTATCAGCTATGCATCGACCTGATCGAGGTCGAAAATGCCCGTCAAATCACAGAAGACAAGGCAAAAATCAGAATCCTATTACTCCAGGAACAAAGTGGAGGAGTTGCCACAGGTGAAGGAAGGGGGCTATTGGAAGGAGTTGCCACGGGTGAAAAACGCGCCCAAGATCTGAGAAGAACATGGCTACTGTGGTCGAAACATAAGTGATATGAAAAATGATTTCATTTGTAGAGTGACGCGACAATCCAAATCTCTTGGGCTAGTCAATGACTCAAAGCATCACTTTCGTCAATCTAGATTGAGTCTGGTGACTCTATTCCATTACTTCCAGCAACATTGAGCAGCAGACCACATGACACCAATATGACAAGACATGTTATAAGTAGATAGAAATCCAGATTTCTACCAAAAGTTGAAAGGAAAGACAAACCTCCATTTTATGCTTTCCATTCAGGGCATCTAGGGCTGCAAGTGCTTGTTCCTTCGTCTCATATTTTATAAAAGCGCAACCTGCATGGCCAACGTAAAAAGCAGGCCAGTGAGTTTTCCACAACAAACATAGATTAGCACCATTGGTAACAACTTCCTAAAGACTGGGAGAGAAATAGACACCAATTACGCCCGATTACAGTCCAATATAACATAAAAGAAAGAAGTACCTTTACTGGTTTTTTGAGAACCTCTTAATATATGCAAGTCCTTTATAGTTCCATATTTTGAAAATACAGCAGCTACTTCATCTTCGGAGACATTCTTCGGAAGCATGCCAACAAAGAGTTTGTGTTCTGGTTCAGAATTGCAGTCAAAAACTGATCATTCAAAGCATTTTATTATGAATATGATGCAACAACTTCAAGCAGGCTGTGATTATACATTGTGAGACGAACTATAACTGTCCATTAACTCTGGAAGCAATTCAACAAATTGCCTAAGCATAAAAAAAGAACAGGACCGAAGAATCGCATATGCATTTACCTAGCCGTTCTAACTCTCCATCTGCATACTTCACTTGCAGTGGACTAGATGCCTGCATTCCAAGATAACTTTTCCGGTCAGAGTTAAGATAACATCCCTAGGAACTAATACATAACAAGCTACAATGCCATTGCATAAGGATATCAAATCAGAAGTCCAAGGATAAAAGGCATCCTATGTTACTTAAGACTCAAACGTGTGTCCTCTATGGGTATTGTTCCAATATCCAACTCGTCTCCAAATGTATTTGTCACAGGATTTGGCATTTGAACACAAAACTTGACCCCAATGATAGCATATAATAAATAAATATCTCCGCTCTCAGAGTGCAATACATGCACAAAGCTTTTTAATAATCTAAAACAATACGGTGCCTTATTAAACATGGTTCACGCAAGTTTTGAAGTAAATGTTTATTCACTTCCCCCATCCCCTCCCCCCTTCCTTTTTTCAACTTGTCAATTTCAAAATTTTGGAATGGTTTGATTTTAAAAGGGCAAACAAACAAATTGATAAAGCAATAAGCTACAAAAACCAAGGAAAATCAACACATCATTAATCTGATCGAAATTTCCAGTCTCCGGTCACCGGAGGAATACATTCAACACTAGACTAGAGTTACGAGACTCGATTGCACAGATTAAGAATTAAAGGATTTGATTGCATAATTCACGTAAGTCATTGGACTAAAAATGAAATTATCCCATTTTTAGACATAAAATGTGGCGAAATGAATATTAGATTTTTAACTTGGTGTTAAGTAAACTCGCTTGCCCCCCTCTTCCGAATTCCTGCATCCGCCACTGACTATACTTCACTCTTTTTTTTCTATTATTTCTGCAGCATATAATATGGATAAATAATGCATCGTAGTTTTGCAAGAAGATATGACTGTGATAAAAAAGAACTAATTTGATGATTTAAAGTTTCTAATTCTGCATGCATCAGATGATAAGATAAGAGAATTATAAAAGAAATCAAAAGATCAATCATTCTAAAGAAAATACTATGTTCCAACAACTCAAACCCATAAGAACCTTACCAATCAGAACGTGGAGTAGCAAGAACAAGATTCCAAGATTAAATCTGACTAAGGAAAAGGGGAACGAGAAATGAAGAAATTACAAGCAGACGGGGAATCTAGCAAACAACTCATATAAAAATGAATGACTCCCCTAGAATTTGAAAACACGACGCCGTTGGTAGTATACACCAAAAGTGATGTCCAAGTGCCAAACAAATCTTAACGTTAAATCCCAAGCAATCAGTGAGGCAAGGCACTAATTGATATGAATATACTCAGAAACAAAATCGTATTCAAATTTGTTTTGTCCTGATTGTCAAGTCGTTGAAGGTTTTTTCTCCGAATTTGTCATGGCAGCATTTTCTTTACACGACAATACAAACTGCACATACTTACTAGTCACTACTTACCAGTCAAATGGGTAAAAAAAAAAAACTAATTAAATACCATTCATGTAAGAACTAATTAATCGGCTAACGCTAGGAATTAATTCGACCGAAATTCATTTCTTCCATTGAAGAGAAGACTTCCCATGTATCAACTTCCCTCCCCTCACGCAGCATGCACTTACCGCTGCTGTGACCCATCTTTAAATTCATAAATCTGGGGAAACTGGTGCAATGTGGTGATGGCATCACTACCCCATGTGCGAACCCAAAGTCAGCACACAGTAAAGAGTCACACATAATCAATAGCTCTTCCCAGAACGGAAAGCAGCTTGTTGCAGAAAGTTTCCACAAGACAATTAGCCCACATGCCCACAGGAAAAAGCATGCAGAAAACTAATGAACTGAACCACACGCTTAGAAAAGATGATCTGGGAGACCATCACATTCCTAACTAGGTCGGGGATCGCCATTTCCGCACTCGGACCCGCCGCCGACAAGAATCGACCCGCAATGCGGAACACAATCACTCCGATAATCAGACGGATCAAGGCAAGGCAAGGCAAAGACCAGAAACACTAACCCCCGGCAACGTCCGCTTGTTGTGGCACGCGCCGATCGCCTTGTCGGCCTCCTGCCTCGACGGGCATATCACGAAGCAACAACCTTCACCGCCAGAGAAGAAAAAAGAAAAAGAAAGAAGGAAGAAGAAGGAAAAACGCACGAATTAGGGCTCGGAAACACCGCCGGACGCGCCGAGACTTTCCAAATCTGGACGGTGCGCCGAACGATGCGGCGCGAATCGCGCCGCTCCAGAGATCCAAAGGAAGAGAAGAAGAAGGAGAGAAAAGAATGGGGAGGGGGAATGCGGGAAGAGGGACCAACCGCGGGAGGCCCGCGTGGCCTTGTCCTTGATGACGTTGACCTCGTCCACGAGGGCGACCTCCTGGAACAGGGCGAGGAGGTCGGCCTCGGTCATGCTCTTCGGGACCTGGCCGACGAACAGCTTCACGCTCTCCTCCCCCTCCGTCTCCTCCTCCTCCTCCGGCGCCGCCGCCGCCGCCTCCGACGACGACGGCTCCTCCTTCTCCTCCGCCTCCGCCTCCTCCTCCGCCTCCTCCGCCTCCTCCTCCGCCTCCTCCTCCTCCGCCTCCACCTTCTCCTTCCTCTCCTCCTCCGCCATTGACGGGGCCCTGCGCGGCGAGCGAAATGCTTCTCTCTCTCGCTCTCTCTCTAGAACCCGCCAGAACGAGGCGTCCCCCCCCCTCTCTCTCTCTCTCTCTCTCTCTAGAGGAATGCAGGTTTCTCTCTCTATAGAAGCGCTTCGCTTTGCTGGCTGCGAATTTTCTCTCCCCTTTTTTTTTTTTTTTGGGTGGTGGTGTTGTTGTTGGGGGGATGTGGGAAGGGAGTGCGCTGCGTCTTCTTCTTCTTCTTCTTCTTCTTCTCCCGAGCAGTCGTCGCTTCGGTTTTTGGTTGGATCTTCTTCATCTTCCAAGTAGGGGGAGAAAGTAGTTTTTTTTTTCATTTTTTTTTTATTATTATTGTTATTTGAGTGATGGCAGCGTGTGCCCCTGGTCGTCGCTTTATTCGCGGTTTTGCCACTCGCCCGTTACAGCTGTCAGGGGCGCTGACGTGGAGCGCCCCGGTGGGGGGGAGGGAACAGCGGGTGCTTTGATTTTCTTTTTAACTTATATAGATGAAAAGCTTGTTTTTTTCTTCTTCTTTTTTTTCTCATTCCATAATTTTGGCTAAAAAGGGTGAACAGCGTGCGGACCCCGCCCACCTGAAGAGTCGCGGAACCATGTACTTTACAAATCTCGCGAACCGATCGAGCTCGGGTGTCTTCACCGGGCCCCGATCGAGAGCAGGGTCAGCACACGGTCAGTGGGATTCGAACGGGATGGCATCGACCGAGCACGCCGACCGCTTCGTTTTCGTTTCTATGACCCTGAATTTTAAGCACATGCATCTTGCTAGTTTCCCCATTTTTTTTCTCTTCACGTCCGAAGCGGAAGTCGTACTTCATGGGGTGCGTTTGTCCTGTCTCGGAATTTCTCTATTTTCAATGCCAACTTGTGGCAAAATAATCGTACTTTTGCATATGCCGACTTCAGTTCGCTCGCGTGGTTTTGATTAGATTAGGGATAATAACAAAAACAGTTCCTGAACTTTGACTTAATGTGTAATTTGATTCCTGAATTTTTAATTTGTTCAATATGGTCCCTGAACTTTAGCCTAATGTTCAATGTGATCCCTGAACTTTTAATTAGTTCAATGTGATCACTGAACTTTTAGTACATATTCAATTTAATCCATGAACTATATGAAAATATACAATGTAATCCACGAACTTGAATTAATGGAAGGATTACATTGAACATTTTTATAAAGTTCAAGGACTATATTGAATATATAACAAAAATTCAGGGACCACATTGAACAAATTGAAAGTTCAGAAATCACATTGAATATTAAATTAAAGTTCATGAATTACATTAAATAAATTAAAAATTCAAAAATTAAATTATATATTAAATCAAAATTTAAAAATTATTTATGTCATTTTCCCGTTAGATTACGCGGTCGCAAGTGGGGAGATGGAAGTTTTAATATTTTTACGTACCAGAGTTCGAGCTGCACGCTACGTCTCCTGGTGCGGAAGGTGAAATTACGGATGTGCCCCTGGATCGTGCCGTCCTTGGCACGGGGGCGAGAGGGAGAATGGGGGGCAATCTGGGGCCGATGGAATATTTTTTTTAATAAAAAAAATAAAAAAAATAGGAGAAATAGTTGGTGGGGCCAGCTGGTTGAGTTCATTAGGTTGGATTTGAATTATCCAATCGGAAACGGATAACGTGACTCCTTTCTCCGCGGGAAGAGAGCTCATCACATCGGCCCATCCCCATCGTAACTTTTGTGGTCTCGCCATTTGATTGGTCCATTTTAAGGCCTTTAGGCGGAGGGGCCCCGCAGCGGTCCCGCGCTCCCCGTCCGAGGAAATTTGCTCCAATCATGCCTTCCACCGGTGAATTGCGGATTTTGGACATGGACACGGGTGAGCGGTTCTATGGTCGGTCCAGAAAATTTACCATGCTAGAAACTTCCTTATATACGCTAGAACCCGGAACCTGCTCTGTTAATATGTCCCAGGGTTCACTCGGGAACCGGCCAATTTCTTCTTCATTTTTTATCTAGAAAAATGACGCGAATGGTCCCTAAACATTAGCCCGGTATATAATGTGGTCCCTGAACTTTCGATTTGTTCAATGCGGTCCTCGAATTTTGGCCCAATGTGTAATGTGGTCCTTAACTTTTATTTTGTTCAATATGATACATGTACTTTTGGTACCTGTTCGAACTTATGAAAATGTTCAGTATTGTCCTTTAATTAATTTATGTTCAGAGACAATATTATACATTTTCATATAGATTAATGATTAGTTTGAACGTGTACCAAAAGTTTAGATATCGCATTTTTAATTCAGGGACCATATTGCACATTGGCCAAGATTCAGGGACCACATTGAATAAATTAAAAGTTCAGTGACCACATTACACACTGGGCCGAGGCCCAAGTATCATTTGTGTCATTATCCATTTTTGTCTTTCTTTTTTTTTTGTTTCATTTTTAGTTACGTAAAATGAAAATGAATGCAATAACAAAAATCATCATTTGTTAATAGCAGCAATTCATAAAAGATGAACACAGAAAATAAAATAAACAGTAAAAAGTTCAAAACACGTAACATAAACCTCAATTATAAAACCTCAGTTCTCGATCATCCATGAAAAGTTTCTCCAAATTCTGACCACCTGAAATAAAAAGAACCACAAACTTAGTGAATTATTTAATAATAGTTTTAAATAAACTATAATAATTATTTGAAAACCTCACCATATATATTCATTCCACTTCAACTCGCAAACTCTATTTACCAATCATTAAGATAAACCGTATCCAAAAACAAGAAAAAGAGATTAAATAAATCATTCACTCATTAAATATACAAAGCAATTACAATATAAAAAGATATATACATCACTTATGATATATAATCTCCAGTTCATCGGTTCTCGATCCAGCTCAATTCTTACTCGAGAATCGGAAACCAAACCGTACAATATGGGTTCTACTTTTTTGGGGACCGGTAACCATGGCAACCTAGAATTGGACCGGTTCCTATTGTCGGTTCAGTCCGATTCCCGATTCTATCCAAGACTCATGCTCACCTCTAAACATCGCCCACCTACAAACTCGGTGAAAATTAATGGGTGGTATTCATATTTATAGAACCACCAATCAGGAGACATTTCCTCATGTGCGGACGAAAAAACGACCCTAGCTGTTATCAAGAAAATAACATTTGGAGCATAAACGGTACAACAATGCGACAGCAGACCAAGAGATGGTTGGCGAGGGGCCCCGACTTTTTCATGTAACATAAGCTATGATTTATCCAATTTCGTACGAAATTTCTCCATTGCTCGTCCGAATGAGCAGGGTATCGCGAAATTTTTATCTCTCTGAGCTCCCTAAAAGTAGGTTTCCGCGTCTGCCGCCGATAACACGACACCGCAGAAAAAGCCCTTCGCCGGAAGTGAGTTTCACTTTGGAAAGTTGAAGCAGATCTGGAGAGGGGACGTTTGGCTTGGTCAATTTTCAGGATACAATTGTGCTGTGTTTTATTCACCTTCCTTGCAATGACAATTTGGCTTGGAGAGGAGAGACATGGTGCGTACCCTGTCGCTTTGGACAAGCTCTGTTCCTTCCAAGTCATGTGCCAAAACCATGGCGGTCTACTTCAAGAAAGCGACTTGTCTCCCAATTTCTTTTCCTTGCTTTGCTCTGTCTTTGTTAGGGTTTCTATTGTTGCTCTTCCCTCCTTTCTTCTCATCTTGCCCTTCCGGGGATTGCACCGCAATTACACATGTCGCGGCTCGGGAAGCGCTCTCTGATTCGTACGCGAAGGTTTAAACCATCAGACGGGACGGGACGGGGGACATTTACGTAGCAGCCGAGATATAAGTTTTTGGAGCGAAGTGATCGTTTGATGTCGTACCGCGCACGCAGAGCAGGAAATTAGTGGATAGGAATTCGAACTCAGAATAAAATGTCGATGAGGAATGAAGAAATCTCTTTCGATACTTTTGTGACGGTTGCATGGTTGACGTGGAGAAGCAGGCCAAAGTGCATAAATAAGGATGAGCAAAGCCCATCTTTGGAGGTTCCTTTTGGTTTAAGCTCAAAATATTGCTGATACCAAGTCATTTCCCATTAGATTAATAACCATCTCTATCTTGTGCATTAGACAAATTTCTGCAATTTTAGACATCTTTACCTATAAATTTGTGGCCATATATTATATAGTATCTGAAATTTGCGCTCGCTTGTGTACCTCTTCCTTGTGTCTATGCACTAGACGATACATACGTTATAAGTCAGTAGGAGTAATCAATTTCAAGATATGTTCCACACCAAGAAGTTGGAACTACCGTGTGAGAGTCGGTTTCCGCTTTTGAATCGGTTCCCTAAGAAATCAGCTTGGGACCGAGTCATCCGACACCAAGGTTGACCTCGGAACTGGGTCTAATTTTAAAAGCATAACTGTTATTTTATGAAGCATACAACGTGAGCAATTTGCGACATAACGATGAAGGCATTGATGGATTTCCTAGACTTTCTGGGTTCGAAACTTATCTCAAATATATCTTCATTTTCTTTAAACAAAGTTGAAAAAGAGAAGCTAAAATCCAGTTCAAAACTGTCTCGACTAGAACCGACGGTTCATGGTACAAAAAATGCGAACCGAAACCGGTTAGGGTTGGTTCTCCAATTCTTACCCAGTTCTTGCCTGGTCTCCGCGTGAACCGAGCTTAAAACCGGTCGAGTAAGGCCAGTTCGATTTTGTTCCCAAATTATACCGGTCCACATGCTCGCCCGTAGCTACGAGAGCAATAACTTGGCCAGTCAAAATATCTATAAAAAAAAAAACACTTGAACTTATGCTTATAATACAAAAATATCTCGACTTTTCAGATGATCTGAAAAAAAAGAAGACGCACCGATGTCGGCTCGAGGAACAAAAACACCCATCCTTAAATTTTCCATCCAAGCAGCTAAAAAAAAAAAGGTACATGGTGTAACATGCTCACTTCTCTTTTAGCTATTGGAAATGTATCATGCCGGACCCGCCGGCG